GATCAATTCATCAGGAAGAACTTGTTGGTAATGTGCTTCGCTATCATCATCTTCATCACTAAACTGCGCTTCATGACGAAAAATCCGTGCTAGGCCATTTGGACCAGTTACCGAATGACGCAAAATGTACCGTCCTGCAAGCCTTTTTAGTGTCGATGGCCTACTACGGCCTGGTGCTGCTACTGCTGGAGGTGGCGATGGTTGTGCAGGTGACGGACTTGCCAGTTCAATTAGTTTCGAGCAAATTTTCAACTGTAATTGACAGACCTGAAAATGCACCGAAGTTATTTTCATGTTTACATAACGTACAAGGGGAGAACAGATTAAAAAGTACCATTACTACGTTCATTTGATACCCATGACACAAAAAAGTGACCATCCAAACGATGTCCTTAGAAAGGTTGCGATAACTGTTACGATGGTTAACGGTTCAAAGTAATTCATGGGAAAATGGAGCTTCCAAGGAATGTCCTCCGTGACTGGCCACATCTCCGAAGTTTTCTTTTCAAGGCTTTTCTTAAACCAGTAGTTGCGAGCTTTTCCTTCTGAGGCTTCTGCTCCATCGAAATGCTTTCATTCGTAATAAAAAAAGTTGGATATGCGGTTGGTTCATAACGTTTGAATACAGTCATGAGTAAAAAGTCAAGAAAACCTGACAACCCTCGGTTATAAGACGATAACAGTTATTACTAACGAAATCTGCATAATTTAAAAAAAAAAGCTCCCTTCCAAGACCATAAATTTTTAATCGGTTTATGATTGGCAAGACAAAGCAATTTCGTAATTGCGGGGTGGTAAGGTAGCAACTGCTGCTATTGTTATTATCAATGAATTTCGCATAATTCAAAAAAAAAGCATGGAATGGGACATAATTAATCGTCGCAGTGGGTGTTTTCCCACGCTTGAAATGAAGTTGGTATGGGAGGAAACCAGGCTGAAACGCACCAGGCTTGCCGGTGCGATCATGCGTTGTTGCACTAAATTCATGGGTCACTAACAGTAAGAATAATCCCTGCACTGCAGCCAAACAGTTGGGCTCATATTGGCCGTGCCTTGGTTTCTTCCAGCATGCAGCACAATGGGCAGCGGTAGGGATGAGAATGTTGCGTTATAGAGGACCGGATCCCACACATACCGCGAGCAAAATTAACTCTAGGTATGCGGCCAAGATCGGAGACTCTAGTATCGGCCGGAGCGTGGGGACCTGCCAGTAGCATCACTAATATGGGAGGCCTGTACTGATCGTCTGGGCAGTCTTGATATTCTTATGATCATTGCCAGGCATGAAAGTCAGGAAGGAAG